TGTAGTACAGAGTGCCATGGGTAAAGGGAGTGATTGATCTTTCTTACCCACTGTTATGGCTTGGATCTAAAATGCCCCCCAAAGTTTCATGTGTGGAAGGTGATCGGATCATGGGGTGCTGTACTCATCAGTGCTTACCAGTGATGAGTTCACAGTTGGGCTGTCAGGAGGTGGGGCCTGGTTGGAGATGGGCCACTGGGGGTGTGTTTTCCTGTCCCTGGCTCTTCCCTTCTCTCTCCACTTCCTCTCTGCATGATGTGATCAGGCCCTTCCACCATGCTGTCTCTGCCTTGAAGCCTGCTGACCATGGACTGAAACCGTGAGTCAAATAGACCTCTTTTCCTTTAAGTTGCAGGAGAGAAAGTAACTAAGTCACCCACTGTTTTGTATATTTTTGTCATATCCAGATAGACCCCAGTCCATAATAATCTTCTACCTGTAAAGTTGGTGGTGCACCAGAAACGTGCTATATTTTGGCCTGGGTTGAGTGGCCTATGTTGGTGGTTCATGGGATGGCAGTGGCATGAACTGTAATAAGCTAAAATACACAGTGGAAAACCAAGAGGTCTGATAGAATTATGCAGCATCTAGAGAACGTGGAATGTACAAGTGTAGTGACAGCAGTGTTGCAGATTTTGTCTGGGTTGGATTCTGGAAAAATAAGAGGTTGCCTGTGAGATACTACCTAGCACCCATGCCCTCACTCGGCCTGCTGCAATCTCCCCATGTTAGGCCTGGCGCACCTGGGTCTCCTTGGGCACCCAAAGTCAACATGAGCCTCTGCTTGGTTCCTAGAGCTGCTCTCACGGACACCAGAATATACCTCAGGCACCCCCACACCTTTCCTGGGCCGATGCCGCAGCTTGGATAGTTGGTACAAAAAGGAGCTTGTGGTGAGGGGTCCTGTTGAACTGAAAAACCTCCACACAAACACAGATTACAAAGGGACAAAGAGGAATGGGACTTCTAAGGTTAAAGATTGCAGACCTGGTAGCTGGGCATGATGGTGCACACTGAACATTTAGGAGGTTGAGGCAGGACGACTGCTGTGAGTTCAAGGCCAGCCCGAAGTATATAGCAAGACCCTGTCTCAAAAAACAAAACAACAACACCCCCGCAAAAAAAACCCTGCAAACAAAAAACATTCATTTGGAAGTATGTAGTAATTTTTTTTAAACCCTCCCTTTCTTAACCCATTATCTTTGCTTCTCCATTGGTACATTTTTTATTTTTACTTTTTTGGCAAAGCTTGGAGTCTTACCATCCATTTCCTATTACTGCATTATGGCTTGTATCTAGATGTCCCCTTTTTGGAGGTGGCTGGATTTAGGGTATGATGCTAAGATCACGGATGTGATGCTGGGATTGAATCGTGGTGCAAAGGTAGGATTAAGGGTGTCCTACCCTGGGTGTGAGAGGTACCTGCCCTAATGGTGTGGCTTGGGTGGGACATAAGGGACAGAACAGCTGCTGCTGTTGCTTGCTATTGTTGCCTTCTGCTTCTCTGCTGTTTTGCTGCCTTCTGCCTGCTGTGGACTGTTTCTCCTCTGTGATGCCCCTCTGCCTTGGAGCCAGCTGACTATGGACTAAACCTCTATTAACTGTGAGCTACAATAAACCTTTCTTTCTCTAACTTTGGGTGTCAGGTATTTTGTCTCAGCAATGAGAAAAGTAACTAAGATACCCTTCTTTTAATGTTACTTTATCTTGCTTTTATTCTCTCCTTTTCTTTCAGCTTATTCCTTTGGTGATTCTTTTCTTTTCTAGTTTAATCTCCACTCCCTATTATTTGTCCTTTTCCTAGTTGTTTTTTCTGTAACTTTTATTCAGTACATTTCACTTTACTTCTTAATTTTTTGGTGTTTTGAGACAGAGTCTCACTATGTAGTTGAGACTGACCTGGAACTCACTATGTAGCCCAGGCTGGTCTCTCACTTTACTTCTTAATTTTTTGGTGTTTTGAGACAGAGTCTCACTATGTAGTTGAGACTGACCTGGAACTCACTATGTAGCCCAGGCTGGTCTCTCACTTTACTTCTTAATAGGATCATTTATATCAATCTTATACCTTCTTTACATCTTCCATAGCTTAATTTTTTTCTTTTTTGGTACCAGATATCAAACGCAGGACCTTGCAAGGCAGGTGGGGGAACCACTGAGTTAAATCCCTGGCTTAATTTTTCATAATGTATGTTTTTTCTTCATGCTTCCATACCCATACCATTTACCCTTATGTATTTATAGGTAGTTAATTATATCTTACTATGGCTGAATACTGTTCTGTTGTGAAAGGGGGTAAAAGTTGTTCTATTGACAAGGCAGGGGAGCACAAAAACCCTGATTTGAAGTTACACTATAAACCTTCTGTGATAAAGCATGGTACTGGCAAAACAAAAGACAACAAGGATTAGTGGAACACAACAGAAGATGCAGAAACAACGCCAAGCACACTCAGCCACTGACAAAAGTGTCAGACATCTTCACTGGAAGAATGATAGTCTCTTTAATAAATGGTGCTGGGAACACTGGCTTTCCACATGCCTAAGATTGAACCTAGACTCATCTCTCTCACCACACACTAAAAGATGAAATGGATCAAAGATATAAAAACAAAGTGAATCTGATGGAAGCTAGACTAGGTAAAACTCTCAGAAACACAGGAGTAGGCAAAGACTTTATAACAAAACCCTGATCACAAAATATTACAAAGAATCAACAAATGAGATGACATCAAATTAAAAAGCTTTTGCACAGCACAGGAAACTATCAACACAATGAAGAGATGACACAAAATGGAAAAGCATTTGTCAAGTAATCCTCAGATGATTAATACAATATATAAAGGACTCAAATCAGCACCCCCCCCAATTCAAAGACCTAATCCGAAAATGGGCATCTGAAATGAACAGACTCTTCTCAGATGAAGAAGTACAAACAGCAAATAAATAGGTGAAAAATTGCTCAACATCACTCGTCACTCAAAAATGAAAATTAAAACAACACCAGGATTTCATCTCACTCCAGAAAGAATGGCCATCATCAAGAGATCAATCAAGTATAAAACAAAAAACCCTCAAAATCCATCAAATATCAAGAAACAAAATCAAAAGAAATCAATTAAGAAATGCCATTGAAACCGTGGGGAAAAGGAATCCTGCATTGGTTGGAGTGTAAATTTGGTTACAACCACTATGGAGATCAGCAAGATTTCTCAAAAAACTTATATAGAAATTCCATTTGATCCACCTGTTCCCCTTCTAAGCATCTGAGAGTTAAAAACATCATACCACAGTGATAGATCCATAGTTGTTTACAGCAGCATAACTTACAATAGGTAAATTTTGGAAACAGCCTCATGTGCTCATCAATGGATAAAGGAAATTATTTATACACAGTGGAGTACTACTCTGACACAAAGAAGGATGTTGGATAAACTGTACCTCTACACCATAATCTTAAGTGAAATAAATCACACAAGTTTAAATGTTGAATTCTCTTGTGTGAGAAACCAAAAGTGTACATAGGGAGCAAAATGAGGATAGATATTGAGAAGTAAGAAGAACTTACTCAAATGGGAAGGGGGACAAGGGCAGGGGTGAGGGCAGGGAACAGGGATTAAAAAAAATTGAAGGAAAATCATGAAAACAGCTTTTGTGAATTGAGAGAAGAGTTGAAGGGAAGCGAAAGAAATGGGATAAAAAGAATTAAGATATAATATGTACAGGTACAGTTTACCCGTGATGAATGTGATCACTATATATGGCAAATATGTACTAAGGAAAAAATAAAATTTTCTCCTGGGAGTTCAGGTTTTTTTCTTTTTGAGGTGAGGGGGTGTCTCCCTGTTGCCCAGGCTGTTCTCAAACTCATGGACTCAAGAGTTCCTCCCACCTTGGTCTCCTGAGTAGCTGGGACCTTAGATGTGTGCACGCCACACTCCACAGCATTTCCAAGTTTAGCCAAGCTTTACAAGCAACTAAGGACTGGTGTGAGTCAGTGGGAACACGCGTGAGAGGCCCTGGGGTCAGTCCCAGCACCAGAACAAACCCTTGCACACAGTGAAACTGAAGCCATGAGGGGCTTTCTCAGGATTGCATCAAACAGTAGTCCAGTTTCAGTGTTAAAAGAAATTTCTCATTCCTGAGTTATCAAACAAAACTATGTCTTTTAGCACTAACAGGAAGACACTGAAATGAGATGTTTTCAAGAACTTATATTGGCAGGGAATTTGGTGTGCTTATAAAAATCAGAACCTGTTCAAGAATTCTGGTTTTCATTTGAAAAAACAAAACACTGCTGGCCACAAAATACACCTGGATGTTTCTTTTCAGTGGATCTCTATATTCTAGAATGCATCTTTTGAGGATATATATATAAAACAAACTTGCTCCTTTATGAGCAAGTTATGACACCTGAACTCTGATGTCTTAGTGATTAAAATGTTATATCCCAAATAATATTCAGTAAGCGTCATTGGAACAGGACTCTGCATTTCGGCTTATTTACTCCTAACAATTCTCCAGCCCAACCACAGAGGCAGAGAAAAGAAAGGGAGTTAGGAAAGCGTCTAAAATAAGCCATAGTTTAATAAAAATAACTTTTATTGGTTACATATAATTTTAGCTCTATTAATATATATTATAAATTTTAAGAATTAGATATAAATGACTATATTTTACCAAGAATACTAGCTTATGGCAGCCTGTTCAGTGGGAATTATTTAAGACCTGCACATCTATTCAGACAATCAAAGTGGTCACTGAGTGTTTATATTAGTACATGATACAGTAGTTACCCCTGTACGCAGATTATATTAAATACAAATGAGTCCTACGTTCTCTTTTCCAGCAGATACTCCCCTTTCATCAGACATATTCCCCAGATTATTTTACTTACCTAGTGTACAAAATTTAACTTTTTATCCACCAGAGGTGTCTCAGCTTTCACTGTGGAAAGCTCAAAGAGCAGAAGACAGCAGCAAAATGCTGCTCTAAACTTTGTTTTTTTTTTTTTAAACTTTCATCTAAAGCCTTGACTTACAATCAAAACTGAATTATTCCCACAGTATACTTATGTAGATGTTAGACCAGAGACAGAAAGGTTGAACAGTTTGAGCAGGTTTTGGCAAATCACAGAAATCAGAGAGTGCCGTCAGCAGCGAAGCTGTCTGCTTTAGTGTTTTGTGGTGCAGAGCTGATGAAGGTCATTCGAATTTCTCATCTCCTTCTTCCACGTCTTTCAGACTGAGAACTTCCAGGGAACCTTTGCCTTTTGTTTCCTTTTTGATTAGCTCATCAATTTCTCTGAAGCAGCCTGGGTCGATGAGGCACACCTGAAACATTTATCACAGCTGTGGACTTGTATCGGCCTAGAAGCCTAGAAGCCACCCAACACAGCAGCGTGAGCTCTGACTTTGCATGCTGCTTCCCTGACTGCTCTAGTACTCCAGACTGGAGGGCAGACTGGGCCCCACCTGTTCTCCACCCTCATTGTCCACACCAGCTCCTGTGATAAAGGCACCAACCTAGACCCGATGGTGCAGCACTTGCCTGGCGTTCCTGAGACCCTGGTTCAGTTCCCAGTACCACAAAGAAAACACCCCTCCCCGCAATACCAGATTCCCCAGTTGTAAAAAGAAGGGTTGGCACTAAAAGATTATGGTCTTCTTCATTTTACAAGTTAGCACTAGATTTTATCATTCAATGAAATCACTTCCACACATGAAAAAGACTTCAAAGTCCTACTTAGAAGGCGCGTCTAATATTTTGAAAAGAACTTCAAAGTGTCACATGTTTCATGATACTCAACAATCCTGTATAACTCATTTTTTGTTTTTTGTTTTATTTTAAAGACAAGTCTTGCCATGGTGCAGGCTATCTTGCATTGGCGATCCTCCTGACTCAGCCTCTCAAACAGCTGGCATTATAGGTATGTGCCATGACACTTGGCTTTATAGCTAGTTACTTAATTTGTTAATGCAGATTTAAAATGTTCTGTGGTAAACAAAGCTGACCAACTTGTAATCTTATTTCTATTGCTCCATAATAGAATATCACTACAATTCATTCTCTCATCTAAAATGAATATGACCAGCATAATTTTGTAGTCAATAATTTAATCACACCCAACACTTGGGAGGCTGAGGCAGGAGGATCTCTGAGTTCGAGACCAGCCTGGGCTACATAGTGAGTTCCAGGTCAATCTCAACTACATAGTGAGACCCTGTCTCAAAGAAAAAAAAAATTACAAACCAAATTAAAAACAATCTAAGTGTGCTTAAGTACAATGTAGTTCTTAGACTGTCAAAGTTAACCTAATTCTATGTGAGATATTTCTAGGAATGACTTACTGTCCAAAACTTCTAAATGTTTGTCACACACTTATGGCTAGAAAATAATCTCTTTTGGTAGCAGGAAGCAAAGAAATCAGAGTATTTTCATCCTACCATTTCCAACTGTTGACTGTAGTCTTCACTTTCTATAACCTTGATCAGCGGCTTGAGCTTTTCTTTCAGCTTTTTCCCTTCGTTCACAGGAAGGATGAACCGAAGCCTCATGTGGGCACGTTCTATCTTCATTTTCTCCTTTAACTGCTTTATTACTTCCAAAGCCTATCAGGACAAAATCGAGAACATCCACAATTTCTTTACTGTTTCTGCTACACCATTTTATAAAGTGTTAAAGCAGCTACTTGTTTAAAAGCTTTTGGTTAGTGTGTGTATGTGATACATATTAAATACATGCATCATGGGGAACTGGTTTCTCATATATATCAAATTTTGATCCTTTTTCTACCACCTGTCCCCTCTTCCATCTCCATACAGACAAAGCAGCATTTATCTAGTTGAATTAGGCAAAGGTTTCATGGCTACAAGAGGAAGACCGTGAGTACCCGTTGGAAAAAACCCCAGGAAAATTGGATATTACATTAAAAAAAAATTCTGTGCTTCAAAAACACATTATCAAGAAAGCGATATCACCACCCACAAAATAGGAAACAAATATTTGCAAACACATAAGGAGCTACTACTCAGAATCTGAAAGAATTCTTACAACTCAACAATGAAAAGATAATTAAGAAATGGGCAAAGAATCTCAGCATGCCTTGTAATCCCAGCACTAAGGAGGCTGAGGCAAGAGGACTGCCATGAGTTCAAGGCCAGCCTGGGCTACACAATGACTTTTAGGCAAATCTGAATGGCACAGGGAGACCCTGTCTTAAAAAAGGCAAGGCATCTGAATAATTTCTTCCCAAGACAACCAATGAGCACAAGAAAATATATTCACATCACTAGTTACTAGGGAAATGCAAATCAAAACCAGAGGAAACCACCAAGATGGTTACAGTAAAGAAGGTGGACAGTACAGTGGCAAGTACTGCCCAGGACAGGGAGGCCCCTGTGGCACTGATGGTAGGAAGGTAAATGGTGCAGCTGTCTTGGAACATGGTTCAGCAGTTCCTTGAAAGGTTACACACTGTTACCATAAAACCCGGTGTTACAGCTTGTACCGTGATATCCCCCAAAGCCTCATGTACTCATATGTGGGGCTTTTTGGAAGTGGCTGGAGCTAGGGGGTGTGATAATTACATCGGTTTAGCATAGTTCTGGGTGTGGATAGTGGAAGCCCCACCCTGGGTATGGGTGGCACCCATCAGTAGGCTTATACCCTGAATGGAATAAAAAGGGACACAATAAAAAGGGAAGACTGCTGCTGTTGCTTGCTACTTCTGTCTACCCTGCCATGGTCTGTTTCTCCTCTGCAGTGCCTCTCTGCCATGCCACCCTGCCTTGGAGCCAGCCAAATATGGACAGAAACCTCTACAAACCGTGAGAGGAAATAAACCTTTTCTCCTTTAACTTGTGGGTACAGGGTATTTTTCTCAGCAACAAGAAAAGTAACTAAACATCCATTTATAAAAGAATGAAAAGGGCTGAGGATGCAGTTTAGCAGTGCAAGGCCCTGAGTTTGATTCCTGGTACCAAAAAAAAAAAGAAGAAAGATAAAAAAGTGTCCGTATAATTTCTTGTAATGAGTTTATGGACAGCATTACTTATAATAACTAAAAAATGAGAACCCAATGTCTACCAACTGGCAAATGAATAAAAAATGTGGTATTGCCATATACTGGGGTAATATTTAGCCATTAAAAGAATGAAGTAAACAAGGCTTGGTGGCTCAGACCTATAATCCCAGCACTTGAGAGGCTGAGGCAAGGAGGATCACCAGCCTGGGCTCTATAATGAGTTCAAGGCCAGATTGAACTACATAGTGAGACCTTGTCTCAAAAAAATTGAAAAAAAAAAAGTACTAATGGCCTGGGGATTTAGCTCAGTGGTTCTGGCACCTGCCTTGCAAGCACAAGGACTCAAGTTCAATCCCCAGTACCCCCACTCCCCAAAAGTACTGATCCATGCTGCAACAACAGATGGATCTTGAAAATGTCACATATAGCCTAATTCCATTTATCTGAAGTGTTGAGAGTACATAAGTCTGTATGGACAAGCAGTGGCTCAAGGCCAGGGCTATGTGGGAGAGTGCGAGAAAAAGGAACAACTGCTAGTAGGTTTCTTTGGGGGTGGGAGTGATGAAAATTTCTCAAATTATGTAGTAGGGAAGGTTCTGAAATGTGGGTTCTGAAACTTTGTGAATATACTAATGAACTGTACACTCCAACACGGGCAACTTTTATGGGAAATTGATTAGTATAAACAAAGTATCTAAAAAGAGGAGTTAAAGTGATCCCTGAAAGGTCTTGCTTCCTGTCATTTTGGTGTTTGGGGACATCCACACCACTGACCTGCTGTTTTGTGCTCTTGTTGGGTTTGACCGAGTAGTGGATGTCCTTCATGGCTCTCTCGATGAGGATGACAGTGTATGGTCTCTTTGTCTCTGGGTTCACACATTTGTCTGCCACGATGGTTGCAATGTCCCTAAACATCTGCTCCAGCTGTGTGTGCCTTTCTTTATCTGACACCTGAACCTCTCCTTTAGTCAAAATCTGAAAAAACCAACCCAGCAATTTTAAGCAACATATTCCTTTACCACACATTATTTGTTAAGTAACCCCAAGAATTAGCAGCTGAGGAGAAAATTAATTTTCATCCACTCTAGTCACTGACAAACGGGAAGTGATTTGAGCACCGGAATACTGTGCTTCAAACTCTCTTAATGAGTATTGGACACAGGAAGGGGAGGAGCAATCTTGGCAAAGAAATTTGATTTAAAAAATTCGCTTATCAGTCATACCACATAAAAATAACTGTGCAAAATGAGGTAATTTGGAGTTGTTTTACGAAAACATACACATTCACTGTTATTAGAATTGATACTGTAACCGGGTCTGAAATCCAAGCACGTTGGGAGGCCAAGGCAGGAGGGTCCACAAGTTCCAAACTAGCCTGGGCAACTCAATGAGACCTTGTCTCAAAACAATGAAGTGCTAGGGATGTAAGCTCAGCTTGAAGGCTCTGGATTAAATCCCCACTACCACCAAACCAACACAAAAAACAAAACAAAAAACAAAACCAGGACCGAGGATTTAGCTCAGTGGCTCTCCTGCCTGCTTGGCAAGCCCAAGGTCCCGAGTTCGATCTCTGATACAAAAACAAAAACAAACACCCACAACCAACCAATGAGCCAAACCAAACCAACCGACATGAACTTCCGTTTGTGTTACTGTTCTCCTCCCCCAAAAGGATACTTGCTACAAATCATTGTTGGGTCCCTTATGCTGCAGGTGGCAGAATTTACCTGCTTACAGATTTCAGTTTGGTCATCTGTTCCAAACGCACTGATGAGATCTTCCTTCTTTGCAACCTGACCTTTAGAAACATTTACAAACACCGAGTGGGTCTGGAGAACTTCATCGAGGTCTTTTTCCCTGCGGGGGTAGGGGGGCAGGAAACAAAGGCCTATGTGAATGAATACCCTTGACACCTGGATATTCATTGACATCTAAATGTAAGAGGGCAGTGACATAGAAGCAAGAGACAGCAGATTCCTAAAAGACCCTTAGTGTCGAGAGAACATTTTCAAAACTTGGATCCCCGTTTGTATTCCCATTTACTAGAGAAAATTAGAGAAAATTAAAAATGTCGCTGGCTCCCCAGGAACCCGGGGTGGGGTGGGGCAGGCGGCCGCCGCTCTTTGCTGGCCCCTAGGTGGCAGCAGAGAAGACTTCACTACGCACTCCGGCGACACCTCCGGGCTCCTGGATTGGTGGCATCAGATGTACGACAACGGTGACATTATTTGTTAAACGAGGATCGTAGTCTTTAACATCACTCGGGGAAAGGACCATCAGTGTAGGATTTCTCGGCTGTAGCTCGCATCACACGCAAAACAACAGTCCAATCTGAGCCAACTACAGAAATGAGCCCTTGGTTCTGGCGCCAGGCTGGGGGAGGACGGCGACCTCTCCCGCCCGCAGCGGGAATAGCTTTCCCCTCCATCCCCGCCCCAGCTTGGCCGTCATCTCGACTCGGTGACAGGGAGGCCGATTCGGAGGACACCAACTCTGGGCAGGGCCCGCGCGACGTGGTCACTCACACGCCACTCCGCCAGCCGACGACCTTGTTTTTGTAGCAGGCGATTTCGAAGCGCTTTCCGGCGCGCTTCATCCGTACCACGGCCACATTGGTGAGGCGGATCTGGTTGGTGGGGGTGAAGATCGACATGGTGGCTGCTCCCGGATCTCAGGTCCGGCAAGCCGGGACAGACCCGCGCCTTGCTGGGACGACCCGGCGGCTCGCGGAGCTGTAACGACAGCACAGCGCGCGGCGCCTTTACTCGGGACCTCCGCCACAGTGCAGGGGCTGACTTACTGCGCAGACGTCACAGGGTGCGGTAGTGAGCAACTACGCCTGCGCACTGTGGCTTTTTTTTTTTTTAACAATTACGCCTGCGCATTATGGCTTTTTACGATTTCCGCACCCCAAAAAGGGAGGTGCTTTTTCATGACGTGTTTAGTTGAAGACCTGATGAGCTCTGACAGGTTGATTGCTGATGTTTAGTTTCCCCACACTTTCAGGGGCCACCCCCCCTTTAACCTTTTAAGGGAAAAATTTAACATTAAAAAATTCGAGAAAAAGCGAAGTTGGTCCGCGGATTTAGCTCAGTGGTTCCACCCCCTGCCTCGCAAACTCGGGTCTAGAGTTCGATCCCCATCTACCAAAGAACCAAAACAAAAACCACAAAAAGCCACTTCAACCATTACTAACACATTTCTATTCTTGGTTTAATCCCCCGTTTTCCGTTGGAGTACTTTAAATCAGGTTTTTAGCCTTAAATACTTCAGTATATACCTTTAAGAGATACCCAATGAGATTCACCATAATTCCCCAATATCATGGAATAGCCATTCATACTTTAATTTTTTCCCCCTAAATCCTAGCTTTCTACAGTCGCTTTTTTCCTTTTGAGATTCAAAAGGGCCCACACTCTGTACACCCACACTCTGCATACTCTACTATTGCCCTCCCTTACACTCCAGTTCGTCCTCTCTCCCCTCAATGCCACTCATGTCTTGACGGGCCCGCCCCTTCCGAATCTGAGCCAATAGGGAAGAGCTGGTAGCACTCCCACGACGGTTGCAGGGTGCTCTGGGAGGTACTTCTAGAACACTGGGCGGTGTTTCCCTCTGAGCCTGCCCCTTTCCTCTCTGAGCCAATCCCAGAAGGACTCCGTTCTGGTTTTTTTGGGCCCAGAGCTCTGGGCGGTGCTTCCCTATGGTCCCGCCCCCTTTTTCTTTCTGAGCCAATTACAGTGGCTCAGAGAGCGCTCTGACTTCCTCTCCTCGAGCTATGGGCTTCCGGTTGGGCCCGCCTCCTTCCGCTCCGACCAATCCGGGCGGGCTTGCCTATGGCATGGCTTCACCGAGCTCTGAAAGCTCAGTCCATGTCTTATGCTGAGTGGTGACTGTTCTCAGCTTTCGCTCCCCGGGCCGGCCACCAGACTTTCCAGGTCCGAGGCCTGGGTTTCCCATCGGCCTGCGGGACTCGGCCTCTGAGGAGAATGGGTAAGGGACTCTGGCTGGCGGGAGCTGAGGCGTCCTCGCCCTTCCTTCCCTCAGAGGTTGCGGTGTTCAGCTCGGGACGGCCGCGCCGGGGCGAGGGGAATCGCACTCAGCTTTCGCTTTTTGAGGCCAGCGGGTCCGTTTGGAAGGAAACTAAGCTTCTCAGCCCAAATAAAAGGCAGAAAAAACAATCCTTTCCCTCTTCCCCACGTGCTTGGGACTTTCGGGTCTTTCTTGCAGCACCTGCCAACACTAGATTTCAGCCTTCGCCTTTTGAAGTTGCCCCCAGGTTCAGTATTTGCGGCCAGGACCTTGCGCGTCTCTCTTCAAAGAGTGGGGCGTGAGGTCAGTTATTAGCCTTTTAACTAGCAGCCGCAAGTCTTTAAAAATGCAGGGGCGTCGGGCACAGGTGATAGCACAGCTGTAATCCTAGCACTCTGGGAGGCTGAGGCAGGAGCATCGCAAGGTAGAGCCCAGTCTGGGCAATTTAGCGATTTAAATGAAAGTAAAAAGTTTTAAGAACTGCAATGGGAAAAAGGGAAGAACTTGTTGCTACTATTTTCAGTTTTACCTAGGGAGTAAGCATAACGACAAAATCAGCTTATAATTACCCATTAAGTGTCTTTATTTTTGTTAGAGTATTAAAATTAGGTTTCTTAGCCGGGTTGTTGATTGTAGTTTGATTTTGTTTTTGGATTCTTAAAACAGGGATAGACAGAAATCTTCGAATACGTTACTTTTAACAAAATGACCTGTATGTATCGTTTTAAATTTAGATCCTTCTTTGGATGTGTGGGACCTCTCCTCACCTTTATTATCATTATGGATAAACAGGTTTTACATTTACTTGGGCTTTGCTTTTGGCCTTAGCCTTTGGATTTTTTTCCAAATTGTCATCAAGAAGCAGGTAAGTGGTATGGTTTTTCTTTCTTTTCTTTTTAAAGAGAGAATATTTAGATAGCAAAATTCTTGAAGAGTGCAGATTTTCTAATGCTTCCAGACAAATACAGAAAAGCTAAAAGGAACTTTAAATCACTTTTATGTTTGGTCTGTAGATTTTTTTTTTTTTTGTACCGGTCATCAAACTCGGGGGGCTTGCACTTGTTTTTTTTAGACAGGGTCTCACTATGTAGTCGAGACTGACCTGGAACTTACTATGTAGCCCAGGCTGGTTTCAAACTCACAGCAGACCTCCTGCCTCAGCCTCCCGAGTGCTGGGATGACAGGCATGCGCTACCATGCCCGGCTTGGGGGCTTGCACTTTGCACCACTGAGCTAAATCCGTGGCCTTAGATTTTTTTTCAACGGTTAAACATTTCTTCTCTCAGTTTTTAGAGAATAAGTTAAAATGGATTAAGTTGAATACAGGATGCTTTTTTTGTAATGAGAGATTAACCTTTTATTTTTTATTTTATTTTATTTTATTTTTTTGGTGCTGGGGATCGAACTTGGGCCCTTGCGCTTGCAAGGCAGGCGGTGGAACCGCTGAGCCAAATCCCTGGCCCAGAAATTAACCTTTTATAAGAAAAACAACCACTTTACACTTTGAAGGGGTAGGAATCCTTTCCACAACTTAGGAGTCAGAAGTAATTTTCTATTGCTGCTCCACTGGGAGACGTTACAGATGAAAGTTCTGCATTGGTCCTGTGTATACTTAGGTACTATAGGATCTGCCAAATGTGGATTGGGACTATTTAGAAAAACAAATGTCTGCACCTCAATACGTACAGACTTTTTCTTGCCATTATCTCAATACAGTATGACAACTGTTGGCATAATATTTACATGGGAAGACATGGCTAGGTCATATGCAGATATTACACTATACTGTATAAAGGTCTTGAGTGTCTGTCAGTTTGGGTATTTGTGTGGTCATGGAATCAGTCCCCCTCGGATGACAGGTATGATCGTTTGGATGGTAAATGTCCCCAGAAAGGGCAGTAAACTAAAGGTACGGTCACCAGCCTCGTGCCCTAGTTGGCAATGGAACTTTTTGGGAGTGGGCCTCATGGGTGGAAGCTGTGTCCCTGTGGATGGGCCCGAGAGGGGATGTGGGCACACCGGCCCTTGCTGTTTTTGTTTCTGGGTCACCATGAAGTGAGCAGCTTTGCTCCCTGCTATGTTGCGCTGCCTCACCCAGGTTCCAAAGCATGGGTCATCCAGCCATGGACTGAAACCTCCAAAACTGGACCCAAATAGAATTTTAAATTCAATTGATTGTCCTGGGTATTTTGTGACAGGGACAGAAAGCTGGCTAACACCAAGGGAAGACTATAGTTTTTTTTACGTTGGACAGAATGTTGATCCAGAAGGCAGGTCCTGCTTTTAAAGCATCTAATTATCCCAAGAGGTTAATATTGACAGAATCTTTTTTTGTTTGTTTGGTTTTTTTATTTTTTGTTTTTTGAGACAGGGTCTCACTATGTAGTTGAGGCTAACCTGGAACTCACTGTGTATCCCAGGCTGGTCTCAAACTCACAGTGATCCTCCTGCCTCAGCCTCCTGAGTGCTGGGATTACAGGCATGAGCCACCATGCTCAGCCCCAAGAGTTTAATATTTGAGAACAAGCAGAAAGATTGAAAGAATTATACGTGAATGGGTCAGTACCTGTGGTCATTTTCATCCCTGCTGAAGTGGGGAAAAGATGGAGAGTTCATGGATTTTTGTGTAATTGTTTATTTTCAAGGCCAAGAACTCGCAGACGTCTATTCCAAAAGCAACTCAGGATTTGATGACAAATGATTATATCTCCCTTCACAAGAAGCAAATATTTGTATCTGGAGTGAAGATTTTCTATGGTTCTCAGACTGGTACAGCAAAAGTAAGAACTTTATAGGATGCTTTTTCTTTGGTTTCCTGACATTTTAAGAACATTCCTAGAGGGGCTGGGGATTTAACTCAGTGGTTCCTCTGCCTGCCTTGCAAGCACAAGGACCCGAGTTCAATCCCCGGTACCAAAAAAAAAAAAATTCCTAGAAAGTGTCTTTTAGCAATGAAATGACTTAGACCTCTAATTTTCTTTGTTCTCTCTCCCTCTTCTCCATGATACAGTTTTTGTTTCTGGCTCTGTGGTGGGCTTTCTTCTCTTATGCCCAAGTGCAGCTGGCTGGTGGCATCTGAAGGGTCTTTGTTCTGAAGCTTCTGTCTTAGGGTTCCAAGTTCATTACTGATGCCTGGAGGTGAAAAGAGTCATGTCCAGGATGGGGTCTAACTTTTACAAACTGTGTTTTGATATTTAATAGTGTTAAAGACACATTAAAGTAGATACATGTGCAGGTATCTAGGTAAAAGCCACCCCATGTTCTTTAATTGTATTTAGATCCACTTGTTTCTTTGATATAAAGGTCACAGCTATTTAGTGCTTTCTAGGATAAGTTTCTAAGTTAGGCTAGCATGAAAATGAATTAATTACTAAAAAAAAAATCAAGTTGATTTTGTACTCTACAAAAGAGGACTCTGCTGCCGTCTTGTGGATTTCTTGAACAGTATTTCTTATGTCTCCAGGTCTAGAGTCTAGGTAAGGCACTTTACTCTCTAGAGTTAAAGGTTATTTATTACGTTCAGCAATAGAGGTGGAAAACCTGAACAAAGGTGGAAAGGCACCTGAGCATCCCAAACAAAGTCCACTTTGTGTTACTCATAAAAGCCTTTACTTAGACCTCACTCTGTGTGTTTTTAAAAGATCAAATGGTGGCAAATCCAGGTGTGCAGAGAACCTGTGTTTTCCATTTCTTGTTTTCACTTCTTTCAGGGTTCATTCATTTGTTCATCTGTCCTTCCTTCCTTTCTTCCATACCAGGGATTGAACTTGGGACCTTGTGCTTGAGAGGCATGCAGCACAACCACTGAGCTAAATCCCTGGCCCCAGGGTTATTTCTTTATAACCTCTTCATGCCCTGATTCTAGATTTAGCAATGATGAAAAATATTTTGAATCCTTCTTACTAGTTACATAACTCAGATCTCAAAATCTCAAATCTCAGTGGTTTGTTATTACTGTCTGCGCCCCAGTTGGTTCAGCTTGGATGTCTGTCTTCCATTTTAAAGCTGTATACCGTGAACATTCTAATGGGTCATGGTCATATTTGATTAATTCCCATTTAGCTGTGTGTAGGAGACTATTGAAAACTTACCTCCTACAACTTTGAAGATATTTTTCTGTTGTCTCCTAGCAGGTAGTATTGCCAATGAGAAGATGAATTCACATATTTCTCCATAGGTGACTACATGATTTTTTTTGCTTTTGGGATCATTTATTTGTCTTTAATGTTTGAAGATTTTGTGAGGTGACTGACATAAGTTGGTCCTTTTCTCAGCTGTTTTTGTGAACACTTGGAGACTTTGTTTTAAAGATTTCTCTGCGTTAATTCTGCCACATTTGTAGGATAGATCTCTTTACATTTTTCTTTCTTCCTGGAACTCTTGTTAGTTGGATGTTAGACCTTTTCTTCTATGTGTCAAATCTTTCATAGTTATTTTAACTTTTTATTTCTTTTAACTCTTTCTTTCTCTTTAATTTTTTTTTTTTTTTTTTTTTTTTTT